ATGGTGAAGGTAGAAGGGATAAGGGGGTGGAGTAGGAGAGAGGGTGCGCGCTGGGATGGCCGGGGGTTGTTCCGGGTCGGGCACCGACATTGTTTCACGGTGGATGAGAATTTAATTTGCACGACGAAGAGAGGAGTGGAAGGAGAAACGAACGAACGACCGAACGAACGAACGAACGAGACCCAGAGTAAGAGAGAGAGAGAGAGAGAGAGAGGTTTGGATGGGTGCTGCCTTGTTTAAGCGCGGGTGGGGGTGTCAAATTGAATTACCCCCGCGTACCAGCATCCCCAGGGACGTTTGCTGGCGTCCACCATCCTCTCTTTATATCCCGCCTCTCTCTCTCTCTCTCTTTCTCTCGTTGCGGCGGATTCGCTTTATTCGTGTGCATGGAGGATAAAGAGAGATAGAGAAAGTGCGAGAGATAGAGAGAGAAAGAAAGAGAGAGATAGGAGTCACGCACGCGTACAAGAGCGAACGGTTTGCACGACGTGTACCTTCATGGAAGCGTTTTCAATTAAAATCAACACCGAGGCAGTATCTTCTCTCTCTCACTCTCTCTCTCTCTCGCTCTCTCTCCGGTATATATCCTTCCTTCCTTCCTTCCTTTCTAACTCACCTTCTCCATCCTTCCCCCCCCCCTCCACCTCGCTCTTGTCGTACCCTCTATCTCTTTATCTTTTCTCGACGTGGCACTTGCTTCCTCTCCTACAGAAGTTCGTTCATCCAAGAGAGAACACTTAATTCCTTAGCCCTTGGAAAATTCACAATCCCAATAAAGTATTCGTCGAGTGTTAAATTAATGGAAGGAGTTATCCTTTCCTCTTTTAACAAGAACGAACCTATTCTATATTATATAGTTATTCTTCATCTTCGTTCTTCGTTCTTCGTTCTCCGTTCATTTTCATTTTCTTCTTCATCTGATTTCTCTCACCGCATGAATAAAGAAAAATTCGTAAGCGTCTTCGTAAGAAGTTAAGAGGATAAGAATCTCTCATTACCAATCTCTTTTTTCCGTATATCTCACCACTTCCCTTCACCGTACATAGTTTTTCCTCCTTCATTATTTTCTTCCTCCTTTTTGTCCCTTACGTATTCAAAGTTGAGTAATTTTATTCATAGACCTGACGTCATTTACTTGACGTCAGACATTGACGTCATTTACATGAGTACGCAACAATTGAAACTAGAAAAAAAAAATATATATATATATATTTTTTTTTGTGGATTATTGATTTAAGTATTTTAATTTATGAACTACAAAAATTTGGAAACTCTTGGATTATACCCTTCAAAAGAATTTATTTTAAAAGTTTCGATATGATTTACAATACTTATTCAACAAGATTATTATGGTGTATCATATTTAACATTGGAATATTAAATGTAATAACTGATTCATTAATAACTACCTCTCTTTCTCTCTCTCTTTCTTTCTCCCTCTATAATAGTTGTTATTATTTTCATTTATATTAAAAATATAGAAAAAAATATTCTCGACAAGTCTAACGCAATATTGTAAATATGAAGATTGATAGAAAATATTTGTTGAAATTCTAAACGATGTAGAAAAGAGAGAGAAAAGAAAAGAAAAAAAAAAAAAAAAGAAAAAAAAGGAATCAACCAATCGTTCTCGAGCCGATAATTAAGATCCGTCAAGGACAGGTCACGTGACTTAATCACTCTCGAATAATTTCTTTTCGTGATTCACAAATTCCAAGCTTTTTCTTTCGTTCATCAATCGTTTGAAAAAACGATGGAAATGAAGTTTAAAAAAAAAAATTGGATAAATAAAAAAAAAAGAGAGACAGATAAACAGTTTTATATATATATATATATATAGAAAGAGAGAGAGAGAGAGAGAGAGAAAGAGAGAGAGAGAGAGAGAATAGTAGCGACCCGTCGAAGCCGATTTAATTGAGCTAAATGCGCGCGAACACGCTTAATGGCGGCGGACTTTGCGTTCGTTCGAGCGGACAAGGTAATCGATAAAATGTAATAAATATAATTACACGAGCGTAGGGAAGGGGTGGGGAGGAAATGTTGGAAGAAGAGAGAGAGAGAGAGAGAGAGAAGGGGATGAAGAGAAAGAGCTTCCATCCGTGCAGTTCGTTTTTTTATATCGACCAGTCGCCATTGCGTGGAAACGCGTATGGGCGTGAGTTACGTTAGCTTCATTTCGAATGAAAAAGTCAAAAACGATTGAAAAATATCAACGGTCATATGATTTATCTCCTGGGGTTTTTTTTTTCTTCGAAAAATTTGAATTCGTAGAAAGGAGGGAAATAAAAAAGAAAGAAAAAAAGATTGGCGTGTGGCGATAGGGGCGGAGGGGGGAAGAAGGGGAAGGGGAAGGGGTTCGGATAAATGAAGAGAAAGAGAAAAGTAAAAGAAACGAAATAGCAATAATAATGATGAAATAATAATAAAGAAAGAAAGAAAGAAAGAAAAAACGAGGATGCAATCTTTCTTGTATCGTTTTTGTTTGTTTTCTGTATTATAGGATGGACGGTCCAGCGGTGTTGTCGATGCCACCGTTGACCGGAAGTCAAAAATCCAGCGGACAATCGTCGCAATCGCAATCACATTCAAAGCCAAATCAAGTAAGAAAGAATGATTTCATTGTTACATACGGTATGCGTTAGATGTAATTTTGTTTGTTTGGGAGCACGTGGTACATCTAAAACTATAGGAGTTGCAGGTTGGTACCGTATCGCTTTATGGGATTCACATCGTTTCATTGGTCATCGAAGGACAGGAAAGGCTTTGCCTAGCACAAATTAGTAATACCTTGTTGAAGCAATTCAGCTACAACGAAATCCATAATCGTCGTGTAGCGTTGGGTATTACGTGCGTACAATGTACACCGGTTCAGTTAGAGATACTGCGTCGTGCTGGTGCAATGCCGGTGTCCTCGAGAAGATGCGGAATGATAACTCGGAGGGAAGCCGAAAGGCTTTGTAAATCTTTTCTCGGTGATAACGCACCACCCAGGTAAGTTTTTCTTTTTGTTCTTTTTTTGTTTCTTTTTTCTTCTTCTTCTTCTTCTTCTTCTTCTCTTCCTCTTCCTCTTCTTTTTTCTTTTTTCTTTTCCTGTTCGTTGATTCTTTTTTTTCTCTCTTTTCTTTTCTTTTCCTTTTGTTCTCATTTCTTTTTCCTCTTCTTTTCTCTCCTCTTCAATATCTATAGGTTTAAAAAAAATGTTATTTTTTCTCTTTTCTTTTTTTTTTTTACAAATTTTTGGGGAATATAGAGGAAGAAAAAGTGTTGGGATTGATCACAGGTTACCGGAAGATTTCGCATTCTCTGTTCACCACGAGTGTGCCTGGGGTTGCCGTGGTGCATTCCTGCCGGCACGTTATAACAGTTCAAGGGCAAAGTGCATCAAATGCGCTTACTGCGGTCTCTTCTTTTCACCGAACAAATTCATCTTCCATTCGCATAGAATCGGTCCGTCGGACAAATACGTACAACCGGACGCGGCCAATTTCAATTCTTGGCGCAGGCATATGAAATTATCTGGTAATCCGCCAGACGAAGTGGTACACGCTTGGGAAGACGTTAAGGCAATGTTCAATGGCGGCACAAGAAAGAGATTATTGAGTAATCCAAATGCAAGGGAATCACCTAGCCCGGCTAAACAATCAAGATCATCGCCGACCATGCCGGTTTCCACTCTCGTATCATCGCCGACGCATCCAAGAGTACCACCATTTCCGGAATTACCATTACCATTGTCCAGGAGTCTCGTTATGGATTACGTTTGGCATCAACATCAACAGGCAGCTGCCGTGGCTGTAGCCAAAAGTCCGGGATTTGCATTTCCACCTTACGCATTACCTTGGCTTGCCAAAAGAAGCCCGGTCCTATTTCCAGGTAAACGAAAACCTTTTACGTTTCTTTTATCTTTTCGATATCGCATATTAAATGGATCTATAGACAAGGAAATGAATCGATTCAAGTTAATCGTTAAGTTGTCGCGAATAAAATAATCCTCCTCCCTAATTGTGCACGTCTCAAAATAAATAATTTCTCAAATTTGAGACACTTGGACGTGCGCTACAATTCAGACACTTTGAACAGCTCTCATTTATACAGAATGAATAATTTTAACTCGCAAAAAAATACTGTATATTCTTTGAAGTCACGGAAATAATAATCAATAGGTTTGTAAACGGATTTTCAATTTTATCATTATAAAGAAAAAAATGTATGAATCATGCAACGCGCAAATTGTTTTAATCGAGCTCTGAAATTGATCTGATCCAGATTGAAATTGGTATTCAACGTCCAATAAGACACGACTAGAATTAAATAGCACGACAATTAAATATCCAATTAAATGTCCAAATGACATTAACGATCGTTGAAATTTGATTTTTTTTTTTTCAATTTGCCAGGACCAATGGCACCACCGATAAGTGGTTCCAGCCCGACCGAACCTCAGCTTTTACCAACGATGAATCCTCCGTTACATCAGTCCGCATTTCGACCAGTGATTCGTGGTCCACCAATCGGTGAACAAGCACTCGCTTCGCTTCAAGAAACGTCTCAGGATGGCAATTCCAATGGCAAAGAGGAAAACTCAGACGACGAGGTCGACATAGAAACGACCGAGGACGATCCAGGGACGCCACTTAACGCTACCCTTCACAATCTTCATTCAGCTACGAATTCTGGTATCGCTAGTCATTCCACTGGTAGAAACGTATCTCCTCAATGTTGGAGTCCACCTCGGGAAACGGTGAGCCAATTTAAATGTTAATACATTTCATCCATTCAATTTATATCAATTATCTAAATATATTATTATCATAATCAAGTAATACGCTTTTTTTTTTTTCATTTTTTCTTTCTTTTTTTGTTTCGGTCAAACAAAAAAAAGAAATTGCGTCTTCACGCGTAAACTTAAATCATACATACTTACGTACGTATCACGATCAATAATAATCGAGATCATCGCGATATACGATCTAACGTTGTTTCTTTATAAATTGAAAAGAATCAATGAGAAATCGATCGATTAATTATCTATATTAATTTAATTTTATGTTTGATCAAATGTCGTAGAATTAATCTTTTACTATCATCCTTCTCATCCATCTCATGTCCATCCTCCTTTTATTAATTAACTATACGCATACTATAGATCATTTTTATTTATACTATGATACTTGAGATTTTGTTAAAGATTAAAAAATATCCAATGAAACGATTGTTCCATTTTAATTTATTTAACAATTGAATAATTTTTGTGTGCTCTTCCCTCTCTCCCTCTCTCTCTCTCTCTCTCTCTCCTTTCTTCTGTTTAAAAAAAAAAAAAAAAAAAAAGAAAAAGAAAAGAAAGAAAACACGGAGAGAACTCATTTTGTAAGTAATGTTCGAGAAAAGCAATTCGATTAACTCTACGACCAAAACTGTTTGTCCGTATCGAATTACGCGAAAGACGTCGACGCGCTCGTTTTCGTTTACATCGGGAGCGTGGGATCTCTCATGAGTTGGGTGGAGTACTCTACTGCTTCATTTACAACGTAAATATACTCCGTTATTAAAGTTCTCCTGAAACACTTTATTCACTATCGAATGATTAACGATCGACGATCATTCTACCGACGATCTCTCCCTATATCTATTTCTCGAAATAAATTGATTGAAAAGAAAGAAAGAAGGAAAGAAAGAAAGAAATAATAAACAAAAGAATTAAATTAAATTGTTTTTTTTTCTTTTTTTTGTTTTTCTTTTTTCTTTCTTTTTTAAATTATACATACTCGTTCATTTTACTATTGACAATATTGCATCGTTTGTTCTTCTTGTAAGTTGAAAATTTTGTTATAATTAAAAGAGGTGAGACTAATCGTAGGAGACAATGAAAAATTGAAAAAATGACGAGTAAAATACATTCTCTTTTAAGAAAAGAAAAAGAAAAAAAAAAGGAAAGAATAAAAAAAAGAACGAAAAGAAGGAACAAAATAAAATAAAATATTAGAAAAGACTTGGATGAAATCGGAGAACGTACCCTTCGGTGTCCCTTTAAAGTCGCGTGCGGGTTCACGGAAAGGGCGATTGTACCTACTTGCATACATATAATTTTGCACGCATAACTTTTGCCACGCTATTACACGCTAGTCGACACGAAACGGGGAGAGAGAGAGAGAGAGAGAGAGACAGCCATACAGAGAGAGAGAGAGAGAGAGAGAGAGAGAAATTTGAAAACGAAAGCGACGAAGCACGTTATAACATAATTCTAGCGTGGTCCTACATTTAACACAAAGAGACAGAGAGAGAGAGAAAGAGAGAGAGAGAAAGAGAGAGAGAGAGAAAGAATGTATGTGTGTGTGTGTATTTACCAAGTGTTTACCGGCATCGAACGTGGCGTGTACTACCGTTTGTAACCTGTTTCTCCCTTGAGAACTTAACAATGGTCACGTGCCATTTAAAGAGTACACAAATAAATACCACGCAATGGTTTACTGCAACCTCGATTAACGAGATGCATTATCTTAACCTTCAAGTGATTTGTTTAACAACGTTAGAAGCTTGAATTGATAAGAAACATGATAACAGATCGTATAATACATCGATGTGCATAATTAATCATTAGGTATATATATTTTTTAATCGATATAATACATGCGCACCCGTATATAGGTATATATGCACAAGTAAATTATTGATATTGATATATTGATAAATGATAACCAGAACGATATATTTTATCATAGTTTTAATAAGATGAAATATTATAAATCGTTCGTTAATTGTTAATAAAATATATGACAAATTTTTTTTGTTTTTTTTTGGTTTTTTTTTTTTTTTTCTTTATTTTATTAAGCTTGAATTAGATCCATCTTTTCATTGATTACGAAGTATTTCATCGATAAGAAATTTTTTATGAGAGATTTAATCGATCGATTAAAAAAAAAAAGAGAAAAAAAAGAAAAGAAAAGAAAGAGAAAAATGAAAAAGAAAAAATTGAGAGAAATGCAAAAAGTTCTGATATGAGAGGTCCTAAAAATGAGATCATTTGAAATTGAATTTATCATTTAATAGAATATATCACGATTATCATGGGAAATCGATCATTTGATGTTGCCATAGGTTCGATAGAGAGAGAGAGAGAGAGAGAGAGAGAGAGAGAGAGACAGACGAAAGGGTTATAGGTAGGATATGATAGATAGGTATGTAATAGATGGGGGTGAGTATGTCTACCAATGTAATACTACTCGATGTCCCTAGAATTTGCTCTGCGGTCTGACTGCTCGTACGGCAGCCCTCGTCAATCGCGATAATTATTGTGTCAGTAAATACTCCGTAACCATTACAAACTCAACAGCTCGTGTGATGCCGATTGGTAGGATCCGTAATAGACTCACCTAGATGATATATATATATATATATATATATATATATATATATATATATATAACTGTATATGTATATACGTTTCTACTAGAATGATATAATTAAATGAACGATATTATTTCCACACACACACACACACACATATATGTCATAACGATAACATTCATCTATACTATACTACATGCGCTATAAACTTAACTGTTAAATGAAATCAATCGAATAAATATTTTTCTTTTACTTTTTTCTTTTTTTCTTTGTTTTGTTTCTTACGAGTACTACATTTTTTTCTCATTATTATAAATAATATAAATAATAATTTATAAATAATTTGTAACAATGATTATATATCGCTTTATTATGTGTCAATAATATTAGAAAGAAAAAAAATCTTTCGATATAATCATGTACAAAAGGATAGATTATAATTTAGATATTTATCGAATGATTAATTTTAATATTATTTCTTTCTTTTTTAATTTCTTTTTTTTTTGTTTTTTCATTTTTGTTTAAATACGATTCTTTTTCTCTTCTTTTTCTTCTTCTTTATTCGTCAAAAATGATTTAACGTTAATACTATGGAAAATCCTTTAATCGATCCATAGCATAAGTCTTGCATGACAAAATCCAACAATTGCATGCGATAACGATCATCCAATACACATAAACGAATACAAGCATACTTATCTACACATGCACAGTTTTCTACACGTGCACAAGCGTTATCATGAAATGCCATCTAAAAAGTCTTTCTCTTCGAGTAACAGCTCGACAATTTATCAAAACTTCTTTGTAATCGATTACGAATATTTATATATATATACATATATATACGTATATATATATATATATATATACGTATATATATATATATATATACGTATATATATATATATATATATATATATATACGTATAGATATAACAAATATGTACTAGAAATGTTAGAAACACTTAAGAATTATAATTGCCTATCATCATCAATCAGATATCTATAAATGGGGGATAACAAAGCGGAGGATAAAGGTGGATAAAAAATACAAAGAGAGGAAGAAGGCAAATCGAAAACAAACACGAAAAAGAAAAGAAAAAGCAGGCAGAGATTAAATCTCGAAACTCCGCTAAATCCGACTGAGCGAGAAAAAAGGAGAGGAAAGAGGGAAAAAAAATAGAAAAAAAAAAAAATAGAAAAAAAAAAATATAGAAAAAAAGAAAAAAGCGAAGAAGACGAAGAAGAAGAAGAAGAAGAAGAAGAAGAAGAAGAGGAGGAGAGAAAAGGTAGGACGGGATGGTGTTTGGACGGCCGTGCAGGGGAAGAAAGTAGGAAGGCGAGAGGAGAAAGAGAAGGGAACGTAACGGGAGCACAAAACGGGAAAACGGATCGACCTTGTGAGTGAGGGATGTTGAAAGAAAGAGAGATAGAGAGATAGGCTTGGATAAGCCATCCGGATTGCCAGACAGCTTTTCAATTCCCCCTTGTCGGTGAACGTGTCGAGTGGAGCACAGAGCCGTATTTTGTGCAGAGATTCACAGCCCTTCCACTATCTCTCTCTCTCTCTCTCTTTCTCTCTCTCTCTCTCTCTCTTACTCACTCACTCACTCACTCACTCACTCACTCGCTCGCTCACTCACTCATTCTCTCTAACTCACTCTAACTCAGTCAGTCGGTTGCTCTGTCGAAGATGGTTAACGCGTGTATACGTAGCTACATCTCGTGTAGAATTCTATAGACATATATATATATATATATATATATATATATATCCGTCACTAAGCTATCCACAGATAGAGAGATAGAGAGATAAAGAGAGAGAAAGAGAAAAGAGAGATAGAGACGGTATGTAGTGAAAACCCAGTTACTGAGAGCCACCATATAGACCGATAGAGAAAGAGAGAGAGAGAGAGAGAGAGAGAGAGAGAGAGAGAGAGAGAGAGAGAGAAAGAGAGAGACAGAAGAGGCTATGTTAGTAGGACCGCAACTCGGATGTTGCGGTAACTAAGTAATCCCCGAACGTTATTTGCAGTTATTTCTCGCTCCGCTGGACCGACTGAGAAGAGAAAGAGAAAGAGAGAGGAGAGATAGAAAGAGAAAGAGAGAAAGAAAGAGAGAGAAAGAGGATTTCGAAACGTTTTCATTTTCGGGACATCTGTGAAATCTACTTTTATCTATGTACTTCTCTATCTGTCTCTCTCTCTCTCTCCCTCTCTCTCTCTCTCTTATTCTCCCTAAATAATAATAATAGAAAAAAAAAGAACAAGAAAAAAGTAAGGAAGCAAGAAAGAAATAAAGAAAGGTAATCTTGACATTTAATACGATTTTACATCTTTCGAGAAATACGAAAAGGATTTCTGAATTCATGAGATTTCATTCGTTCATTCCCAATCT